CCCCAAAACCCCAAAACCCCAAAACCCCAAAACCCCTTTTAGCGGAAGCATTTTTGAATCAAATTATAAAATGTATCCGTTTAAATTATAATTGTTCTTCTCGTTCTCTAAATAGCCATCCTCCCACCGATATTTATTGTTTCTCTTTACAAAAGCATGCTGAATGTCTCCCGAAATGTCTCCTAAATTCTTTTTCTCCTCTCTGCTCTCTTCAGATCCACTCACCTCTTCCTTTATCAACTCATCAAACCCTATTTGCTTCAAAATCAACATCACCGCTTCCTCTACCCTATCTCCCCTTCCTCTCTCATCTCCTATCTCCTTCTCCTTCCTTTCCCTATAAACCCAGATCACTCCTCTCTCCCTCCCAAAAATTCCTAAACAAAACCTCCCAAAATCCCATCTACATCTCCCCCCCCATATCCCTCAACCCCCATAACCCACTGAACATCTCTTCCTCAACCAAAGAAGCAGAAACCCCCAAAAAGCCCCAATAACTAAATTTCCAATATGTTTACAATAATTTAGAAATTCATAGGTAAAATATAGACCCTTACCTTTTCTTTAGAAGAGATTTGTTCTGAGTTTTTTGAGGATTGGCTTGGGTCAGGTTATTTAGGTTGGCGTTTTTGTTGGGCGGATAGGACCTTTGGGAATGGAGTGACTGGGATGTAGGTGGTTGAGAAGAGGAGTTTGAGAAGACTTACCTTGTTAAAGCATTCTTGCATTGTCTTCTTAAGGTAATCAAGACTTGGGTTAGAATTTTCCTATAACTCAGAGTATTTTACAGATTATATTGAAGGAAAGTTAAGTTAGAATAGTGAGAGATTTCTGACTAATACCTGATCTGGAGTGAGTATTGATGTGTGATAAATGCAAAACAAGTTGAACTTGAGAAGCAAGTGGTTGGATAGTTTTTTGAGAGACGAGATTTTATCTGTTTCAGATTAGGGGATGAAAATTACCTGATATTTTGCTACGGGTGTCTGAGATGAGCATCTCTAGTATTATATCTGTCATTTTCTCAACCTTCTCTTGCTCATTCAGGTCTAAAGCACTTACTAAGCCAAGTTACTCTCGTCAGGATCAGTCAGAAATAGTTTCCCATCTTTATCCTCCACAAGTGGAGAATTATCAAGACTAGCGGTAACTAGGCAGTCCCAGAAGGAATCAGGGTTCATAGACAGAAGTTTAGTGACTTTTTGTCTGTCCAGATGGTTGTCACCTCGTTGGTTCATGAAAGATCTTGAAGCGTCTTTGTACTACAGAAATAAAATTTCAGACCAGTTTTTAAAGAATAAAAATTGTGAATAGAAGTGCAAGCTAGCCTAAGTTTATGAAAAAGAATAATGAAGAAAGAGCAAAGGTATTTATTTAGACGAGTCTTTTGGAATTGAGACTGACTAGATAGGTTGAGGGGGTTTGAAGAATTTTAGAGCTGTTCGAGATATTTGTGGGGTAAGGTTAGAGGAATAATTTGAGGGAGATTAAAGAATGCTGATTGTATAGTATAACACTTCAACCCCTAAATTCTTACTTTTCTTCTGATCCAATCGCTCTTCGCAAGCAGGAGAAGGGCCTGGTTTGCAACACAGGTGCTCCATGGCTTCAAAGGGCTCGAAAGAAGCAAGGGATTTTTAGGCTTTTTAGGCTCCTTTGGAGGCTTTTTTAGTCCTCTTTTTGGCCCTTTTGGGCTGGAAGAGCTGTAGTGGAGGTTTAGAGGGGGCTAAGGAGGCTAAGGGGTGGAAGGAGAAATATGTGGGTTTTTGGAGATATCTTGATTTTTAGGTGAAAAATGGGAATTGGAGGATTTTGTTTGGGAAATTTTTAAAGAGTTAGAAGTGTGGTATGAACGGGAAAAGAAAGCTTTTGTTTTTAATTAAAGGTGATTATGGTGGTGTTTCTTGAAAGTTAACATAGAATACGAAATAGAAATTTTCCTTTCAATTTTTTAACTTACTTTTTTAATTCTTTCATGTTATTCTTGTTTTACTTGAGTCTTCAGTTGAGCCTGAGTTTTCATTACGTTGGGTATCTATATCTTTCAGAGTATCGTTCGAAGTATTATCTCTATTTCCTGCATCAGCTTTTAATTCATTTTTAATTTCTTGTGATGTACCAGGTAGCCCAAGACTATTAAGGTCATAGAGGTTTTTATTTGTTTCTTTTTCATCTAATTCCAAGCACTCTGATATGAATCTGGGAGGGGAATCATTATTATCACTTTCTTCGCTAAATTCTTGTCTGTTTTTCTATAATTTGAGTTTTACGTATAATTTTTTTTAATAAAGGTTGATTCACCATTTCAAAGATAGAGACTAAGAGCTTATGTTTTAATGTAAATTTGAATTTATAGCCAAGATAAGAGTAATGATATAGATAGATTTTTGCTAAAAAGAGCATTATTAGAAAGCAATCCAACCTGCTTCTTAAGAAAATAATAGTATCTGAATTTAAAATTATAATTGTAATATTTGTGAAGAAGTAGTCATTTTCTAGAAATTGCTCTATTCTCAACACTAAAGAACTATCAAGATATTTATCCACCATGTAAAATAACCCATCCCACACTTGCTCATTCCACTATATTCTCTTCACTTTCCTCGCTTCCTATCTCTTCAAATTCCTCTCTATAATCCAATTATTTCCAAGCCAAGCCAAGTGGTCGAACAGTTTAATTATTTCCACGTAGAAATAGTCTGCCAAACTTGGCTCTAAGTGCGCCTGAGGGGGATTTAGGCGGGGAAGGAAGAGGAAGGGGATTTTGAGGGAGGAGAGTAAGGGTTACTGTGGGAAGAGGTGGTCCGGGAGGTTTGAGGGGTTAAACATAATGGAGATTTTATTTTATATTTTAGCAAGGGATTGGGGTTTTGGGGTTTTGGGGTTTTGGGGTTTTGGGG